TGTCGGGAGTTTTTTGTCAACTGACATTTTCTTGGAAAGATATTTTTCCAGTGTTTCATGAGCAGAACAATGCGAAAAACACATTAAATAACAGTTAAGCCCATTGAAGAGATGCAAGTCTATCCCTCACAGCCTCGCTATCATTCTCATTAAAAATCAAAGATGGCGCCTACCGTGAATAAGGCGTACTGATCAAATTTAGGAATTTAAAAATGAAATATGAAGCATACATTTAATAATATTGGGGGAGGGGGTGCCCTTTAAAGGTGCAGAAATTACAATATGGTGATTTAAATATCAAAGCTGATATATCAATGATGAGAATATTTTTAAGAATAAGTCAAATTTTTAAAAAAATCTGAACAAGCAACTTTTTACTCGGAACAGTGAAAGGCAGATTTACTTAGCGTATGAAAAGGCTTAATGTCGAGCCCTCCCTATATAGCAATGTCATCAGGAGACACACATACACCGGTAGGCAGTGGCCCACCTTACCTGGTGACCATGTCTTGGTCCACCAGAATTTATAGTTTACCCACCTCTTCAACTACACCTCTGCATACACCAATCGTCTGTACTCTGTACCAACGCATTCTCACCCCAAGCGTCACCTTTGACCATGCTTCAATATTTGACGTTTTAGCGCCCTTTAGCGTCACTTACATGACGCGATCCACGGCGTCATCTAACTGACGCTAAAGGAAAGCGTCAGTTAGAGGACGCGGTTTAGGTTTAGGTGTGGGGTGGGGTAGGGTACACGCGATCCTAGGGCGTCATCTAACTGACGCTAAAGGGCGCCTAAAGCGTCAGATATTGAAGCATGTCCAAATGCTTCCCAAGGCGTCAGTTAAGTGACGCCTTGGGGGTGAGAATGGGCTGTCTGTACAGTGCTATCGATCACTGTCTGCTGTATGCTTTCGAATCAGTACTGTGATGTCATACACCAATCGTCTGTACTCTGTAGTGCTGCTTCTAGTTGATCACTGTATATTTTCGAATCAGTACTGTGATGTCATACCCAGGGATGTAGTGGAGGCTAAATGCACGTAAATGCCATTTACCCACCTCCCAATATTCGGGAATTGCGTTTGCACCTCCAAAGTGCGTTTATCCACCTTTCAATTACGTTTATCCACCTCTAAATATCGTCTCGGTTACGTATGTAACCCTCGTTCCCTGAGTAGGGAACGGAGACGTTACGTCAGAAGTGACGGAGATTGGGGGTTTCGCATAGAAAGCCAATCCTCTTCGAGTATTTAAACACGAGCCAATGGCATGCAATGCCTTGGGGCTGCGGAAATTTGCATAGCGTACTCCGCCCTACTCCGTGAGTATAAAGGAGGAAGTGAACGCAACCGCAGTATGTCTTCGCTGAGGAGCCAAGACTGAACTCGGCATCTACCCAGCGATACAGCAGAAGTGGCAGGGAGACGTAACGTCTCCGTTCCCTACTCAGGGAACGAGGGTTACATACGTAACCGAGACGTTCCCTTTCGTAGTCACTTCGAGTTACGTCAGAAGTGACGGAGATTGGGGGTCTGTGCCATCACGCCATCTTCAAGCTGTCTTCCAGTGCCCTGCGAAAGACTGAACCCCCGAGCCTTACCTCTTTTTTTTTTTTTTTTTTTTTTGGGGATCCGACTTTGACACAGGATTACCAAGGTACACTGGGAAACATATCCCGAAGGGGACATGCTACCAGCTGCCTACCGAAGGGAGGACTTAAGAATACACATATGGCCACATAGGAACGCATATGGAACACTGGAGTACCAACCGCAGGTGGCTACTGATTTAAACTCCAGGGGTGGCAGATGGCTTGCCAAGGGAAGACACATGCTCAGAGAGGCTTACAGTGGATAATACACATGAGACGGTTACCATGGGGAACCGTGCGCATGGAGGCACCTAGCTAGCATCCAGAGCAACGCAGTGGTGCCCGCATCGTCGGTGCTGGAGGACTCAAGACTTCAATGGAAGAACTGAGGAAATATCGCACTTATCCAGTCCGGGGAGTGGAGTGGCGAGCAAGCGAAGACACCTGAGCGGATCCAGAACTGGCCGAAACGAGTACGTGAGAGGATACCGGCTCAATTCGCAGATTATAGAATCTGGCGAAGGTGTTGGGTGTCGCCCAGCCTGCAGCTCTGCAGATGTCTGTTAGCGAGGCGCCGTGCGCTAAAGCCCAAGAGGAGGCTACACTCCGAGTGGAATGGGCCGTCACACCAAGGGGGCACGGAAGGCCTTGCTGCTGGTAAGACAAAGCAATGGCATCCACTATCCAGTGGGACAGCCGTTGCTTTGAGAGAGCCCTTCCCTTCTGGCTCCCTCCATGACAGACAAAGAGCTGGTCTGAGGTCCTGAAACACTGCGTTCTGTCGACATAGGTGCGGAGAGCACGTACCGGACAGAGCAGTGCCAAGGCTGGGTCTGCCTCCTCCGGGGGCAGCGCTTGCAGGTTCACCACCTGGTCCCGGAAGGGAGTGGTGGGAACCTTGGGCACATATCCAGGCCGGGGTCTCAGGATCACGTGAGAGTAAGCCGGCCCGAACTCCAGGCACGCTTCGTCAACGGAGAATGCGTGCAGGTCCCCCACCCTCTTGATGGAGGCCAATGCAACCAGGAGTGCTGTCTTCATGGACAGAAACTTTAACTCTACCGATTGCAAAGGCTCAAAGGGATGCCTCTGCAGAGCACTTAAAACTACCGAGAGGTCCCAAGAGGGTACGAGGGGAGGACGAGGCGGATGCAGCCTCCTCGCTCCCCTCAGGAACCTGATGACCAGGTCGTGCTTCCCTAAGGACTTACCTTCCACTGCTTCATGAGAAGCGGCAATGGCCGCGACGTAAACCTTAAGGGTGGAGGGCGACAGCCTGCGCTCCAACCCCTCTTGCAGGAAGGAAAGCACGACACTGATCGAACATCTCCGGGGGTCTTCTCCGCGAGAAGAGCACCAATTGACGAAGAGGTTCCACTTCAACGCATAAAGGTGTCTCGTGGACGACGCTCTTGCGGAAGTGATGGTTGCCGCCACCGCAGGTGGCAGCGAACTCAAACCTGCCTCGTGCCGTCCAGGAGCCACACGTGCAGCCTCCAAGATCGGGACGAGGGTGCCACAGAGTGCCCCGTCTCTGAGAGAGTAGGTCTTGTCTCAGAGGAATAGGCCAAGGAGGTGCTGTCGCGAGGAGCAAGAGATCGGAGAACCACGTCTTGGTGGGCCAGTAGGGGGCTACCAGCAAGACCTGCTCCTCGTCCTCCTTGATCTTGCACAACACCCGTGCAAGGAGGCTCACTGGGGGAAACGCATACTTGCGTGGGCCCCGTGGCCAGCTGTGCGCCAGCGCATCCGAGCCGAGAGTGCCGCGGGTCAGAGAATAAAACTGGGCGCAGTGGGACGAGTCCCGAGAGGCGAACAGGTCTATCTGTGCCTCCCCGAACTCGTCCCAAATCAGCTGGACCGACTGGGGATGGAGTCGCCATTCGCCGGAGATGGGGCGGACCCGGGACAGCTCGTCGGCTGCCCAGTTCCGGTCTCCAGGAATGTAAACTGCACGAAGGGACCTCAGGTGCTTCTGACTCCATATCAAGAGGTGGCGGGCGAGCTGCGACAACTGGCGTGAGCGTAGACCCCCCTGGTGGTTGATGTACGCTACTGCCGTAGTGTTGTCTGAGCGGACAAGCACATGCTGGCCCTTGAGCAACGCTCGGAAGCGGTGTAGGGCGAGCCGTACTGCCAACAGCTCGAGGCAATTGATGTGCATGAGGCGCTGGGCTCCTGTCCAGGAACCGGCGGCTGCATGCCCATTGCACATGGCACCCCAACCCGTGGTAGATGCATCCGTGGAGACAACGAGATGCCTGGAAACTCGCTGAATAGGGACGCCGGTCCGTAAGAAGCTGAGGTTCGACCACGGGAAGAAGGTTCGGCGGCACGCTGGAGTCACTGGAACTCGGAGCGAGCCGCGATGCCATGCCCACCTCGGGACTCGATCGCGAAGCCACAGCTGAAGCGGTCTCATATGAAGCAAACCGAGCGGCGTTGCCGCGGCCGCGGATGCCATATGCCCCAGGAGCCTCTGAAATAGTTTCAGTGGAACCGCACTCTTGCCCTCGAACTGTCGAAGACAAGTCAGCAGTGAGTGCGCGCGCTCGTTCGTGAGCTGCGCGGACATGGCGACCGAGTCTATCTCCATGCCGAGAAAAGAGATCCTCTGCACGGGGCAAAGTTTGCTCTTTTCCCGGTTGACCCGAAGGCCCAAACGGGCTAGGTGCCGGAGCACCAAGTCTCTGTGTTCGCAAAGCTGAGCTCGAGAGTGTGCTAGTATCAGCCAGTCGTCGAGATAATTCAGGATGCGAACCCCGTGTTCGCGAAGGGGAACAAGGGCTGCCTCGACGATCTTCGTGAAGACGCGAGGGGACAGAGCTAACCCGAATGGGAGAACGGCGTAC